ACATTAGATAGATTATATAAACTGTAAAATATTAATAATAATTGGTTAATATTATTATTAATAGTTTTAATGATTTCTGCATCGTCAGTCCTTTTTTTCTGCTCTGTTGTCAACATGTACAGTCATGGGAAATCCAGAGTCTTGACTGTTTAGCGTTAGCCGTTAGCTTCACCTGCCAATCACACGGTTACGCGGTTTTTGCGCACTCCAGCTGTAGAACCTCCTTGGTGGAAACCACAACCATCTGATAAGTAAAACAGAGACTTCACAAACACACACACTTGATTCCTGATCAAACCAACCAAAGGGCTGCCACGATTAGTCGACTATTAAAATCATCAATGACTAATTTAATAGTCGATGTTTTTTTTTTTCTAACTTTGTATTTTTTTTTTCATAGTCGACTAATCACCGATTAGTTGACTATAAAAATAATCGTTTGTGGCAGCCCTAATTACCACTTCTGCACATGTGCATCAAGGACAGAAAGGCAGATGCAGCAGTTTGTAGAGGAAACCAAAGTTAGAAAAAAAACGACGCATCATCTATTAGATTAGTCGATGAGTTTAATAGTTGACAATAATCGTGACTAGTCGACTAATCGTGGCAGCCCTAAACCATATAAGCATGATTTTTATAAATAAACAGAGTTCCCACGGGCCCTTCAAATCCTTGAAAGTTTGTGAATTAAAAAAAACATTTCAAGGCCCTGGAAAGTTTGTGAAAACAGACAAAAATTACACTTGTCCTTGAAAGTCCTTGAATATTTTTTGGGGATTGAAATTCTCTATTCATACGACTGATTTTCATCATCTTTTAAAAAAAATTATAAATTTTAATTTAAAAAACGTACATTTTTTTGCAGTGGATAACTACGGTAAACTGACGTCATTGTTTCTGACTCAACAACTATGTTTTTCAGTTTTTCATTGCATTTACATGATATTAAACCTGTGTATTGGTAACATTCTTCAGTAACAGGAGGTAGTTGTCGTTGTGCGTGGTTCTTTAATTTGAGGAAATTGGTACTGGAAAGTCCTTGAAAGGCCCTTGAATTTGATGTGGACCAAGGTGTGGGAACCCTGAATAAACCAAAGCTCCAGAGTTAAATGAGTCGGGAGCTGAGCAGCTCACTGTATGAAATATTTTGGTCTAGTTTAGTGTAATTTGGGGAGCTGATGAGTTTATTCTGTTATAAATGTAAAAACATTTGAGTTTATGTAAATTAGGATTAATGAACCTCTGATTTTTAGTCTCGTACGTGTCCAGTGTTTTTCCTCAAAGGTCCATTAACGCTGAGACATTGTTGTGATTCAGATGGCGGTCCAGCAGATGGTGTCAGAATTGGCAGACAACACCAGGAATGCCAGAGTGACGACCAGCCCGGGGGTACGATCCAAACCTGGTGGACGTTGCACAAGTTGACGTGGTGACTGTTTCTAACTGTTGCTGCTGTCGTTACAGAGCAACGGGTCTGTCAACGTGCACATCGATATGGACCAGCCGGTGCAGAGCGAGCCCCGGCTGAGGCTGGTGCTGACTGAGAACCTGCTTCGAGATATTAACGATGTCATCAACAGGATGGAGGTCAGAGTTCAGCCATGCAGTGATCCAGGCTGAGGTGGAACTCTCTCTCACCTCTTGTCATCGGTTCTGTTCTCAGGTTCTAACGAGTGAATCCGCCACTCAGACCGAGGCGGCTTCTGCTGCCTCCGCTCCTCCTCCTCCCTCATCTTCATCCACCACCTCCACTCCATCTCCCTCAGCCCAGCCCATGGACACCTCCCCACCTCCAACAACTCCCCCACCTCCTCCTCCTCCTTCTTCTTCTGCTCAGTCAGAGGGGCCGACTCCACAACCAGGACCCAAGTGAGACAAACTCACTCAGATCTCCTCCTTATAGATTATAAATCACTTTTCTCTGATCTAAGATGATTAATAACCTCAAACAGCCTCATTTGTACAGACGCAGGTGTGTTTTCTGTTAACTGGTTGGTTGTGTCTCCATCATGTTCCTCCAGTCATCCCAGCCCGGCTGAGCTGGCAGATATGCTGTCTGAGATGCGGAGAGTGGAGGAGCGTCTGCAGCCGTTCATTCAGAGAGCTCACAGCATTCTGGAGACAGCCACCACCACCGAGTACAACAATAACGCGGTACAAAGCTGAAAAACTCTGAGAATAATCCTAACTATGACAGAAATAAACGTTTAAAATCAGAAAGAGTTTAGGATCCAAACTCTTACAAATTCAGTCAACAGTTTTATGGATTAATTGTTTGTTTGGTTAAAAACTTGACTTATTGCTGTATGTTCCAGATTACTTTTTTTTTTGTTTGTTTTATTGAAAGTTTTTTTGTTTCAATTTATCACAGTTTTGTTCAGATCAGTCTGATGTCTGATAGCATTTCCAGGTTTAAATGAACCGCCTCTTTACGCTAAACATTTTATTTAGTTTAATTAATAATAATTAGAGGACATATTCCATTTTAAAGTGTATCTTACCCCCCGTGAAAAGATAACTCCGCCCCAAGGCGAAATTTGAAAAATGCATCAAAGTGGGTAGGGGAGGGGGG